TGTTCGTTGTTGTGAGTCGTTGTCGCTGTTGTTCATTGTTGTTGTGAGTCGTCGTTGCTGTTGTTCGTTGTTGTGAGTCGTCGTTGTTGTTGTTCATTGTTGTTGTGAGTCGTCGTTGTTGTTGTTCATTGTTGTTGTGAGTCGTTGTTGTTGTTAGTTACCGTCAAGTCAGAGGAGGGAAAAATGCCAAAATGCCAAGTCCTACTTTGAAGTTAAAAATAAAAAAAAACCTTCACAAGTAGAGGATGCAGCTTCATAGCTGCGTGTGTGTGTGTGTGTGTGTGTGTGTGTGTGTGTGTGTGTGTGTGTAAGAAGCCCTGGCATTTTTATCAGTAGTGAAATCTCATAAGTCACCTTGGAAGAGGCTGCCGTGAGGTTGATGGGATTGTCATTGTCATTAATCAGAGCACGATCCCAGAACAGAGATCACACAGAGGTGAACTGTAGGCCAGATCTGGCCCAGATGTGTGTGTGTGTGTGTGTGTGTGTGTGTGTGTGTGCACGCACATGCGTGTTGTTGCTTTTTTAATGATTTAATTTGTCGTCATGTAAAAATTGGCACATTCACAATTCACAAAGAAGTCTGAATTTCTAGCTTATAAACAAGCACAAGGTCGTGTCACACTGGTCCCACATCCCTTCCTGTGAACCTTATCAGTAGCTCAATAGAGGACATCCCTTCTATAAGACCCGTGCTCTGCAGTTCACCACAGTCCCCACCACTCCCTCTCGTTTCCCCACCGAGCCTGAGGGGCATTTGTCATTTCCCATCACACCTGTGCTGCTGGCTTTCTCATAGCAGAGTCAGGGGAAAGTGGGGTGTTTCCTGCATTCTTGTCTCTACATGACAGACCTCCCTCTGTCCCTCTGATGGAGAGTTCTGTGTCTGTCAGCCCTGAGAGGAGACCGGCAAATTGGGTTGTGTTCTGCCAGAAAGCGTGCGGGAGCTGAGGGCTCTTGAAATGAAACCACAGCAGAGATGACTGAAGGAAGTACAGGTGTTTAGCAGGTGGGGAGAAAAGGCCCCGGGTGAGGGGCAGAGGGAGAAGGGCAGCTCTTTTTAAGTCTCTCAAGGGCCATCGTGTGAAAGATGGAGTCGATTTGTTCTTTTTTGATTCCAAGAGTGGAAGTTAAAGGGAGTCATTTTCAGCTCAGTAGAAACAAAAAGAACACAGAGGTAGTGATCTCTGTAGTTAAGCTTTCAGGCAGTTGGTGTTGGTTCAGATTTTGACTCTACCTTCCTTGCTGTGCGAC